GATGGCAGGAACCAGGTACTTATCCTGGTCTCCCATGGGGTGCAGAGCCCAAGCACTTGGGCCATCCTCCACTGCACTCTCTGGCCACAGCAGAGAGCTGGCCTGGAAGAGGGGCAACCTGGACAGAATCTGGCGCCCCGACCGGGACTAGAACCTGGTGTGCCGGTGCCGCAAGGCGGAGGATTAGCCTAGTGAGCCGCGGCGCTGGCCTCATTAGGTTTTAATGAGTAATGCAACACTTTGGGAATGGGTTTCCTCTGTACTTTACTGTTCCTCTACACCTTTCTGCAATTCAAAGAGACTAATGTATAAAAGGAGTATAATTAGAAGTGTTTCCTGGAAATCAGGTTCTGAAGTCAAAGAAGCTCCTTGCAAGTTCTTTTATTTTTTCTTTTGATCAAAATAGAGTAATATTAATATGATGTGCTTTTTCCAAAAGTTATCACAACAGCAATATTTTGAAACAAACTAAAATTGAGAAGAAACAGTTCAATTTTAAGTTCTTTCAACAGCAGATGACATGTCTCAGATGTTAGTAAATATGAAAAATCATCCTGAGAGTTTAAGAAAAAGATTACCAAATCAGCTGTGCAGAAATCGAGTCTGCAAGCCTGCAACACAGCTGTAACACCCTTATCATTAATGTTTTTGTCTCAGTCTGTGGTAGTTGAGCTTCTCTATGCCACAACAGCTCAGTCTATCTGATCATATGGACAGCTTTCTGCAGGCCATTGGTGCTCACTCAGACTCCAAGCACTGGTCCCTCTGTGCACCTGTACAGGGGAATTAATACTGGAAGGGTTTCCTTCACCAGGGAGAAATGGACCAGTTGATAGTATCTCAGTCACAGTTCTTTAGGGGACAATTCTGGTATAATTCAGCAAAGCTCCTCAGAGGGTCTGGGGCAGGACTGAGCTCCCCGAAACACCCACCAGAGAAAGCAACTTCATCAGAGCTGCCTCTTATTTAACAATTCACTAATTCACTCTTCTGCTGTTGCTTAAGCCACGTACTGATTTTCTTTGACAGATTGTATTTTTGATTTTTGAAAGTTCAGTTGGTCCTTTTCCAAATATGCCTGCTTATTTTAAATAGCTGTTTATTGTTTGATAATTGCTGTGATTTCATCTTTTTTTAATCTCTGATATAGTAATTTTCTATTTAAAGTCTGATCACGGTAATAACCTGAAATCCTTGGGGGTCTTAAATCTGTTCTTGAATTTCTCACTGGTTTATTTCTTTGTATGTTTAATGATCTTTGATTATAAGTGCTTGTCTGCTTCCTCTTAATTAATGGAAAATTAGGGTCATAAAATCAGGAGATATCCTCCTGAGAGACACTCCTTGGGATCCAGTCCAGTCCAGGGGATTTTTAGCAACCTGGGTGGACATTCATCCGTTTCCAGCTGTAGCAATCACGTTGCAGTTTGCATTCATCTTTAGTCCACTGCACACACCCGAAGACTGGTTTCCTGATTACAGCAAGGAACTTGTCCACAGACAGGTCAACATTTATTTTGGGCTTAAAGCTCACCCCTTAGATCAGATTGTACTTCATCCCTTTTTGAAGGATAGGTGTTCTTTGAAGATTTCTCTAATGGGCTCTGGGAGGACTCAGGTTCATTGATTCTGAGTTATTTATTTAAGTTGGTTAAATGTGTGTCACTTTATCATAGTGTGCGCTTCAAATATCTGAGCTCCTTATTCCCAGCAGGATTAAGCTAGCCCCAGAGCGATCAGGAACAGAGGTGGCTGGGACCAGATCTAGCTGAGTTGACTTCCAAGTGTTTTGCTTGGTCTTGGATGTCATGGGAAGGTAGGGCAGAGGCAGATCCTAGGGCAGTGAACTCTATTCTTTAATCTTAATAGAACGTTGAGCTTCACTAAGAGCCCCTGTCCTCAGTGATCTGGGTTGTGTCTACCTGTTGAAGTCTTTCCCTTTCATTGTATTGCCTTGTGGGAGGGTGGGAGAGAAGCAGAAGGAGCTGTGGGTATCCCAAGTTGGGTAGCCTCCTCATCCTGGTCAGTGCCAGTTTCTCTGTGCCAATATGTATTTTTTTCTTGTATTTATTGATTTACTTATTTGAAAGACACACAGAGACAGATGCACACACATACACACATGCAACACACACAGCTCCCATCTTCTAGTTCACTCCAAATTCCCTCAACTCCTTGGGCTGGACCAAGGCTAGTCCAAGCTGTTAGCTGGGAATGCAATCCAGGTCTCCCCCAAGGGTGGCAGGAGACCAATCATGTGAGTTGTCATTGCGGCCTCTCAGAGCACACATTTGCAGGAATCTGAGTCAGGAATGGAGATAGGAATCAAATGCAGGCACCCCAGTATGGAACGCAGGCCTTTCAACCAGTGACTGAACAAGTGGACAAATCCCTGCGGGATGGTCATTTTTTGAGCACGAGAGAATGAAGTTCTGTGGCTGACTTTGCTTCCATGCTGAACCACAACCAACATGAATGGACCCCAGAAATTATGTTTCCAACTTTGATGGTTTCAGATCCATTTACCCTAACACTGGATTTTTCTACAAAGACATCAATATAATAAAACAGAGACCTTGATTTTCACAAAAAAAAAATCTTGAAGTTTAAATGGTGGAATTTTTAGTACCTCCTTGTAATAAATGTCATTCAGAGTTTTGAAGTTTCCTCATGTAGCTCATAAAACAGAAAAATAAAGGGAGATATTTGCCATCTTTTTCAGAAGTGCACAGACTGTGAAAGTGTAACAAGATTAACCACTCCACTCCTGCTACTTAACAATTGAGGACTATGCAATGAAAATACACATTTTAGGGCCGGCGCCGCAGCTCACTAGGCTAATCCTCAACTTTGCGGCGCCAGCACACCAGGTTCTAGTCCCGGTTGGGGCGCCAGATTCTGTCCAGGTTGCCCCTCTTCCAGGCCAGCTCTCTGCTGTGGCCCGGGAGTGCAGTGGAGGATGGCCCAAGTACTTGGGCCCTGCACCCCATGGGAGACCAGGAGAAGCACCTGGTTCCTGCCATCGGATCAGCGCGGTGCGCCAGCTGCAGCGCACCAGCCATGGCGGCCATTGGAGGGTGAACCAATGGCAAAGGAAGACCTTTCTCTCTGTCTCTCTCTCTCTTTCACTGTCCACTCTGCCTGTCAAAAAATAAAAAAAAAGTTTGTAGAAAACACACTTTTTAAACTAACTAAATTAATGTAACACTTAGAAAAAATGAGGCGAGGCCAGCGCTGTGGTGCAGTGGGTTAATGCCCTGGCCTGCAGTGCCAGCATCCTATTTGGGCGCTGGTTCTAGTCCCGGATACTTCACTTCCAATCCAGCTCTCTGCTATGCCCTGGGAAAGCAGTAGAAGATGGCCAAATCTTTGGGCCCCAGCACCCACGTGGGAGACCTAGAAGAAGCTCCTGGCTCCTGGCTTTGGATCAGAGCAGCTCCTGCCATTGCTGCCAATTTGGGAATGAACCAAGGGATGGAAGACCTCTCTCTCTCTTTCTCTTTGCATCTCCTCTCTCTGTGTAACTCTGAATTTCAAATAAATAAACAAATCTTTAAAAAAAATAAAGGGTGAGGCAACATTATTACCAAATGAAAAGCAAAATGAAAGAGGCAATGACATTACTGGAAATCGGCTGATAAATCTTGTGACATCCAGCACATGTTGCCATTCTGAAGTCTCATTTTGTAATATTCTTGTCAAAAGTTTTTTTTAGGTCATATCCATATTTCAAGCCTTTTCATTTTGCCTAGGCATAGACCTCTGTTTGGATGGTACATGCCAAAGATATGCGAGTTTGATTATCTGGCAGGAGAGCAACAGGTAGTAGCAATTAGATTCAGGACCAGCATTCTAACAAATGTTTTTTTTTTTTTTTCATAAACTCAAAATTTCCCCAAGATATGGCCATAAAAGAGGCAGACACTGATTTTACATATTCATGGAAGATGGAATTAAATGATGTTTAGTATGATTCCAAAATATTTGAGATGTTTTTATACTGTTTAAGAAATATTTCATAATTATCCATGAGTTTTTGAAGACCCCTCATATGCATCAATTTCAAAATATTTTACATGAAGATAAACATCTTTTAATTCTATAGTCTAGGAACTGTTGAATTTGTCATATTCATATCCTATACTATAATGTAAAATAATTATACAATTCCTTGGTTAATACGAATGCATTCTTGAGGATCAAGGAAGGCATTAATTATGTTCATTATTGGACTAGAGAGTAAGAGGTCCTCCCATTTCCTCCCTCTTCCTTCTTCTACTCAGTCCCTGTAGAGCTCGAAACCATTTTGGGTAAGAGAAGGAAGTCTCTGGGGTTGGACAACCGAGGCCACCCCAGCTGTCCTGCTTCTCAGTGGATGCCTTCAGGGAAGTGTGGCAGCTTCCTGGCAGGTGTCACGTGAGCTGCTCCAAGCCACCGTGCACAACGCACCCCTGAACACCTGGAAGTTGGCTCTTCTGAGGCACTGGTCTCCTGGCCACACCTGCATACCACACTGAAGAAATGGCTTGCAGAGGGAAGAGAGCTGTGCTCAGATCCTGCCAGGAAACGCTGCCCTCTGCCATCTGAAAGCCCTACTCCTACTCAATGCATATGCGTGCACATGCACACAGACTAATCAATATGCATATGAGGCAGGGGGACCCCCAGAAGAAAATGGAGGTGAAGGAGAGGGGGAATTCAAGACATCACAATGCATTTGCAATGTGATTTGGAACTAGATGGCCTTTGAATTCTGGATTTTAGCATTCTGAACCTGCTAAAAGAGATAATCATTTTTCTCATCCTCCTGGACAGGCTTTCTTTAAATAGCACATCAGGTGAAAAGCATTGCAACTATAAAGTGTAATACAAACACGTTTTAACAGTCATTTTATCTGAAATAAAATAATAATTACAATAGTAAGATTAAAGATTCACTAAGCTCATATGGCTGTCTATGAAAATCCATGTAATGCTTTTCTTGTCAATTCTTTTGACAGCTTGTGGGTGTGCCAGGAACTGGAATGAATTTGGAACATCACAGGTGAAGATCAATGTAAATCTCCTTGGCCAACTGTAGAGCACCAGGCAAATATATGGGATTTCACTTGACTAAAGGAGCAAATTCCACATTGAGAAGTCAGCTGAGATTGGGCAAATGACACTCTTCTAAACTATATGAAAGAAAGAGCAATTAATGGAATACTTGAGTACATTCAGCACACAGATTAAAATTACATAGCACGGCGTTTGCCACGGATCTTAAAACAGGCAGAACAATTGAGGGCTATTCTTAATTTGAGATCATTTCATACTTAAGGGCATCATCAATGCTGAGATGCAAACAGTAAGTAATTCTCGAATGCGTGATTTTCAGTAGTTATGGTATGCCACTTTAGCTTGATTTCAGACTGTGTGTGAAACCCGACACTACCAACAGGCTGCCGGGAAGAAAAATGAATGCATGCTAAGTAAGCCTTGCACAGTTCACAGAACACTCGAGAGAAGGGTTTTGCTCAAGACTTTCTGAAAGCAGAAATATTGATCCCAGTGAAAATGAAAAGATATTAGGACTCTTGACTTATTCTACTTATTAGTCCTTTGGCTTATTTTTTTCTGCACATTTATAGATTTAAGACAAGCACTGGGGCGATGCAAAATAGTAGCCTTTTCTTCAGCACGACACAACCTATTCTTTCCTGCATAAACCTCCCCTGATTCTCTTTGAGGCATTTTTAATAGCTGTTAAGCTCCATAGAATAGTTCAACCTGAACACAGAGATGAGAAAAACACCGAGTTCTTTGTTATGCCAGTCAGCTATTTTCCTTGAGTGCTACACGGTTCCTTTACTGCCTTTTAGGATCACCTGAAACAAAATTTTCTTTCCTTTTATTTCTTTTTAAGAACTGGCACTTGGAATATGATGGTCTCATTGTGCTACTGAACCCACAGGCAGTCCACTGTTCTTACCCTGGCACAGAGACAGGGCTTCAGGGACACTTTCTGCAAACAAAGTGTGATTCTATGGATGGTGTTCACCTGACCCTTCCCACTTGTGCCAATTTTAATAATATACAACTGCCTTACAACATAGGGGGTGGTTTCTGACTCTTAAAACTGAGCTGCATTGTTTCAACACAGGAAATAATTCAGACCACCCACATTCCATATCAATACCTGGGTTTAGTTCTCAGCTCTGGCTCCAGCTTCCTGCTCATTCAGACCCTGAGAGGCAGTGGTGAGGGCTCAGGTAATTAGGTTACTGCCACTCATGTGACTTGCTTTGAGTTTCCAATTCCCTTATTCAACCTGGCCTAATCCTAGCCATTGCAGGCATTTTGGGGAGTGTACCAGAAGATCTATGTTTCCTCTCTCTCTCCCTCTCTCTCTCTAATAAATAGAATTTCTTCAACTAAGCAAAATTTTCTTAAATATGAAGAGCATAGGGCAGATTAAGTATTTATGTGTATATATCTTTCCCTAAAATAATAACAAAAAACAATATCTGTTAAGAGATTTCAAATGTTAGAATTTCCATGAAGTATACAGTTTGACATGAAGTTAGTCATAATGATTCCGGCCAGACTTCTATGAAAATGGGCTGGTTGTAAAATGTTCTGGATCACTGACCAAAATAAACAATTCTGGCTAAAATTATAGCAAAACCTCTAGAGCAAGTATGCCAATTAATCGTGGGGATTGCTAGAAGATACCAGCTTATAAGGATTAGTTAACTACCAGTTCAGAAATGACCTAAGGTCACCACGGTTCTAAAATCACCACCCATTCCCACAAGATCTCCATGCTGTCTGCACAGAACAAAGTAGCAACTGTGTGATCATGAATAGCTATTTTCTGGCCTTTCACTTTCAACCTATCTGTGTCTCCATATTTGTAAGACATACTTGAAGATAACCGGCAGTGAGACATTGCAGATTTATCTCAGATACAATCTACCTTTTGAACTGGGATGTTCAGTCCATTAGTATTTTAGGTAATAATCTTTAAGATTTAAGTCTCTCATCTTGTTACAAGTTTTCTATGCTCATCTTTGCTTTTCATGTATCTCTGTTCCTCTTTTCCAGCCTTCTTTGTAGTTCATTAAGTTCTTTTTTTAAATTTTTGGTCTTCAATTTTATTTCTTCTCTTGGCTTTTTCAGTACTCTACCACTTGTTATTGATTTGAAAGGGTTTCTCTATGAATTAAACTATGCATTCTTAAGTTATCACCATCTGCTTAGCATTAATATTGCATGCATCAAACTTCACAAAGCATAATTACAGTCACTCATGCTATATGATAATCTTGTTTTATATTGAACTTTTGGATAAGTTAAGACTCCCACCTTACTACAATATTTTAATTTTGTCTTTTTTAAGGTTTTTATTTAATGAATACGAATTCCATATGTACAGCTTTAAGGAATATAGTGGTTCTTCCCCCTCTCCTGTCCTCCCACCCCCACTCCCATCCCACCTCCTACTCCCTCTCCCATTCCATTTTTCACTAAGATTCATTTTTAATTCACTTTATAAACAGAAGACCTTCTCTGTACTAAGTAGAGATTTCCACTGTTTGCACCCACACAGACACACAAAACATAAAGTACTGTATGAATTAATTTACACCCATAGGTTGATGACACCCACAGAAACTTGACTTACATTCTGATGTTTCTAGGAAAGGTAACATATGGATTTCTATTTAGGGTGAGCCACAGAAAGGGCCAGGAACAGTGCTAAGAGTAACTGCTACAGAGGGGTTTTCTGGCAGCAAGTGGCAAGAGGCACAACCATGGAGAGGAAGGGGGAGGGAGAAATTTTTGCAGCTCTTGTCCTCCCCTCATAATTTTGACCGAGACCAAAGCCACATTTTTGTTTTCTTCTTTTGTTTTGTATGTCCATCTACAATATATCCAGATATGATATTTAAAGCCACAGAATCAATAGAGATAGGTACCCTTTGGGAGAAAATATACAGATTTTGAGAAGATAGGTTGCATTGTAGCTGAAGTAAATGCTCATGAGCAATATTGCAGCTTTTGGGAGGCAAGATAAATGCTTGTATGCCTGGGCTCTCAGAGATTTGCCTAACAGAGCTACAGCTCACCGTCATTTCCTGAGAAACACACTGGTAGAAAAGCTTTAGAACTAAACACTAAGTATTGCATACTGTTGCTATGTACTACTTCAGACATTAACTAAGATTACAAGTACTTAGCATTAGCAGGATGAGGTGTGCACACATCACTACTTTTTAGTTCTCCTTTTATCTAAAGAGCTGTCTAGCCTAAGAGTGTCAGGCAATATTTCTACTCAAGTAGGGTGAACAGATACGTGTGAAGTGTGGGGATCTCTTTACTTCTTCTTGCAGACACTTTATTTAGATAATGTTTTGCTGCAATAATGGAATACATGGAAATGTTTTAACTGCAAAATTGAGGGAAAGATTGAGACCATAAGACTACTTAATGGATTGGCAACAGAAGTAATGTTTTCTGATTCTAAAGATTGTCAAATTGTACTAAGATCAGAATCCACTTGAAAACTTACTTACATTGAATCCAAGTATACGTCATTCAGAATTGAGATATCCAAGGGGATTCCGTTTTGTGTCTCTCCTGGATCACATTTTCAGAAGCACAGCTTTGAGGATTTCTGAGTAAGGTTGATTAGATGAAGCCCAATCACAGGACCTTCTCCCAAGACTTAATGAAAACAACAACATTTTAAAACATCTGTCTGTAGTGTTCAAATAGAGTACATCTTTCTGTTGGAAACTTCCGGAAGTGAAAGCTAAGAAAGGAAACAAAATGTGATGAGGATAATTAGTACCTCTAAATGGATTATGATAAACTAAAGTAAATACAAGGAACTTGGAGAATATCCTCTTCTGCTTTTCGTCTTAATGTGGGGTATTGGAAGTGCTTCATTGTGAGCTAGAGTAAAACGAGAAAAGTCATCCACGGGACTGTTTCCTACTTGTGGATGCAAAGCCTGCAGGATGTATCCCTAGATCTGAGACACGATCCACAGCCAATGCGAAATAAAATGCATATCCCATGTGGTAGGGCAAGCCTCACCCTACTCTATCACAATGTAGGAATGAGGGATGGAGGCCAGTCTTCCAACAACTGTACATTGTCTTATCTCGGCTCTCCACATCCCCACTCCACTCTGCCTAAGAATGTGGGCCTCAGAAAGATGAGTCAAATTGAAAACATAGCTTGCCTAATGTAACAGCATTGAGAAGGATGCACTAATGTGCATTAGAGAAAATAGAAAGCCTAATAGAGGAGCCTGCATTAATATATGATGAACAAGAAAAGACATGTCATGACAAATTTGTTCACAGCCTATAAAGGGAAAGGAAAGGAGGACAGGGAGGGTAGAGGAGAGAGAGGGAGCAAATAAACACACCAAATGGAGACAAAGAGTGTAGTCTGGAAAAGTGAGATCAAAAACAAAAGAAAATGTCCTGTGAAATTTTTATAGTCTAGAAGAGTTAATAGGTTCATGATACACTAACAGCAACTCACAGGAGATAAAATTAAACAACAAAATGGCATTACAACAAGATTTTAGGAAGCTTCAAAGAACTTATACTAGAATTTTTATATCACTAATTAGAAGAAACTAGAAACAGACTAGAGATACAAAAATCAAATCAACTGAGGTGGAAGAAAGAGCATCACAATGATTTCAAAAGAAAAAAATGAGCAGATCAAGGAAAAGGAGAAAAATACAATAATGCAAGACACTCAGTGAAAGGTTAATTTGTGCTGTGAAAACTGAACATGTGTGTGCCAGCCTCATCCAATTGTACTTAATAAGTAGGTACTGCTCTTTGCATATTGACTACGTCTCAATAAAGCTGTTCCAAGTACTCAAGTATGGCAAGGAGAAAATGTTCCAAGGTACACAAAAATAAAAATGTGCTGAATAAACAAAAAAATCAGTTTGATTCAAAAGAAAGCTCTTTGTTCTGGGGGAAAAAGTGAGAGTGCCATTTATGTCAAGTTTATTCTAGTTGTGTTCAAAATACCAAGAATTTAGAAAAAACTTTTCTGCTACCTGGAAAATATAAACACACCCAAAGGCTGGACTAAACTGTGACCATCTTCTTCGTATCACTGTATGAGTAAAGAGCCATGTTTGACCTGACCCATGGGAGCAGAGCTGTTATCTACAAATATGCTGTTTTACCACTACCCTGGCAGGTTGATGCCATGGGCCAGGTTCTGGCTAAACAGTAGGAGGTAAAGCAACACACATGTCACTTAAGAGCACAGGCATCTAAGAGTGGTGGTGAATCCTGTTCTTTCTTTTCTTTTGCCTTGGCAACTGTAGTAGCCATGCACTACAGATGAGACAGGTTCAAGCTGCTTGCCTGTCTGTTGTGCTGGCCGTCTGCATGGCTGTGCAGAGAAGAAAGAAAGCTTTGCTGTAATGAGCCATTAAGATCCTGAAATTCATGTATCTTTGCAACATGTCCTTCCCTCTAATAACATGACCCAATATCATCCAAAGGGATCAGGCTGCCC